TTATATAAAACTCTCTCTTATACATGAGCTTCTGTGGATCTGTTTCTCTAAAGTACCCAGACTAACACAATGTCCAATGATAGCAAATTTCTTAGATAATTCATAATTCACCTGTACCGAGCTCTATTTCAATGTTCTCTTCAGGTATAAAAGAGTATTTGCTGAGGCAGGAAAATGTCAGTCTACCAGGTTCTCACCACCATCGAGTCGATGCCGGTCCACAGTGACCATCTAGGACAGGGTAGAACTGCCCTGTGGGTTGCTAAGACTATAGCTCTTTACAGAAGAAGATAGCTAACCTTCTCTTTCTCCTGAGTAGCCGCTGGTGGTTTCCAACCACTGACCTTGTGGGGAGCAGCCTGGCTCGTAACCATTAAGCCACTGGGGCTCTAGGGCCTATGATGTTAGGAGGCATAAAAATATTTTAGAACTGGAGTGACACTTGTGACCTCAATTTTGCTTAAACATGAACTCATTCACACCAGGAAGACAACCAGTACTGACGGAAGTGCCTGGTCTGTTGCTAAGGAACCCATAGCCTCCCAGCATCCATCCTGACCAGCTATCCCCTGTCTTCTAATATCTACCTTGGAGATCTTGGCCTGAGAGGTGTGTCACTTTTAGCAGACCACCAGGGAAATAAAATAACAAGGAGGTCAATGGCATCCAAGTGCCATTGGCCATCAAGAGGAAGTCCCTGCAAAGAGAGACAGCTGCAAGTATTCAGATGAACCCCAAGAGATATGTAAAAATCATAGCTCCAAGCAGTCTTCCTTGTGAATCTCAACCTCTGTTGCTTCGGGGAGACCTTATTTGAGGGAGTCCCCAGAGACCCTTGGGTCTTCCAAGGGGTCCTTTCGTGTCTTGTCTCCTACAGTGGGGACATCAAGACAGCACAAGGCTGTACACCCAAAACTCGGCTGAGCTCACTCTTGCAAGTCCAATACCAAGTTCCCCTGCTACTTCCCCCAGAACCAGTCGGAAGCACGCTCCTCGCTCCAGCTGCTCAGAATGCGATCTCACGAGCTGTCCTTGGTCCCTCTCTGTCCTTTACACCGCCATGCGTGTTTCTACCTGCGTCTCCTCTCCTGCTCCTGTCCGTCCCTCCCATCTTACCTCCCAGCCTCTCTCACCTCTCCCCAGGGGACTGTCCCAGGTCATCCCCCATCCCCCATTCCTTACCCAACTTCCGTCAGGCTGAGCCTCTTCAGAAGTAAGTCAAATCACATCGTGCCCCCACTCAAGCCCCACCCCCAGGGATTCTCAGCAGTCTGACCACACACCCCCTCACCTGTAAACTCTTCTGTGATCTGCTCCCACCTTTCTCTCCTAGCCCATCTCTTCCACCCCGACTTCCACGCTGCTTCAGCCACCCCATCTGATAGCTCCTCTCCCAACAGGAAGATGACATCACTCGTTGGGCCGCAACAAGCGTTGACTGCAATGAACCCACTGTGATCCCTTATCAGTGTCCACACGGCAGGAACCGACACCAAGCAGAAGTGTGGAAATGAGGGTCTGTGTATGGTAAATCGTCAGGAAGACCCCAGAGAATTTGTCACCCTCCCAACCTCTGGGCTGCCCACCCAGCCTCCACAGCTGCTCAGGGTTGACCCTTAGGGAAATAAGGACAGGGAGGGCCTTCCTTCCCGAACCCTAGACAGGGCTGTCAATAAGCTCCATGCCTGTAGAAGCCATCCACAGGTCTGCCTAAGGCAACAAACTCACTGCCATCAAGTCCATGCCAACGCATAACCACCCTATAGCGCAGAATAGAACCGCCCCTGCGGGTTTCTGAGACTTCGTTTATCAGAGTAGAAAGCCTTACCTTTCTCTCAAGGAACAAGCTGGTGGCTTTGAACTAATGACTTTGCAGATTGAAGCATGTGTAAACACTATGCCACCAGGGCTCCTCTAGGGCCTCAATAAATCATTGATGAATGGGTGAGTGATGGAAAGCAGGTGGGTCCCCTGGAGCTGTCCCAGAAGACCCCACCCCACCAGCAGGGCAGGTGGTACAATACCTGAACTTGTCTCTTCATCCTCCAGGCCCCGGCGGCTGGACCCGGCCTTCACTTGCTCGATGATCTGCTGCAGGTGATGCTTGAAGGTGGCTCGGTTCAGCTCCTCATATTCGCAGCCCAGCACCTCGGCTGCACGGTTCGCCCACTCGAAGTGCATGAACTGCTTCCGGCCCACTATTCCAGGGACAGAGCAGAGGGCGGAGGGTGAGGGTCCACCCAAGGGGCCTTCGGAGTATCTCCCAACAACTGGGCCACCAACTCAGTCAGAACAGTTGCACAGATGTGGCCCCTGGGGGCACGGACCCCCTGGGAACAGTCAGGTTGACCCAGGAGATGGGTTGATTCTACCCACCCCCACTTGCCCATTGCAGTCCTTACTTTCAAACCAAATGAGCCAGGGAGTGCTCTACTAATGGAGTGGAGCCGTCCTGGGTAAAGTACGAGTGATGAACCAACACTATAGGTCAGCCACATGCCATCTCTCTACCAGCCACACACAAACCCTTGCCATCCACCTAGTGACCCCACCACCTGCTCGCCACCCAGCCACCCACCATTTCATTCAAACCATATGCCCACAGCTCCTGAGATCTGGCAAGCACTGGGGAAGGAAGGCAGGGCAAGGTAGGTCTGGTATCTGCCCTTCTGGAGAGCTGATGGCCTATTAAGGAGAAGAGAGGCTAAAGCACATAGAGAAATAGGCTCATTTGTTCTTGGTAGGGGTCATCAAGTCGGTTCTGACCCATAGGGACCCTTTGCACAACAGACCGAAACACTGCCCGAGCCTGCACCGTCCTCACAATTGTTCCGATGTCTGCACCCATTGGTGCAGCCCCTGGGTCAACAGCCCATCGGGTCGAGAGCCTTTCTCTTTCCATTGCCCCTCATTTAGGGTGATCGAATCATAAAGGGGGTTTCTCTCCCTCTGGGTAGAAAGTGAACCAGGATGGCAAGACAAAGGGAGGTTGAGAGAGTGGTCAGAGAGTGCCCCGCCTGGGCGTCTAATACGCGAAGTGGGTACCCTGGCATGTGGTGCATGACGGAGCCTGGAGAGAGGCAGGAAGAACCAGGAGAGAGCTTCCGAAGCAGCACCGAGGCTGGTGCTTGAGAAAAGAGCCCAGCGGATGGAGAAATGGTAGGAAAGCTCCAGGGTTCGGAGGAGACAGCAGCTGAGGTGAAAGAAGCGAAGGAGCGTCACTTGGCGAGACAGCCCAAACCAGCCCACCCTCTGCGCTGCCCTCACCATGATTCTGAGCATAATTTCAAGAGGACAGAGGGGAACCACCTTACAGGGCTTCCAAGGCTGCACTAGGTACAAAAGCAGGTGACCGTGTATCTCGCCTGGGGAGCACAAGGCGGGGTTCAATGCCACAGCCTGTCTCACAGCAGCTGAGCTCCTCAATTCAGTCGCTGCCGGGTGGATTCAGCCATGGAGTCACCGTGTGCATCAGAGTAGTGCTGCGCTCCGTGGGACGATCAATGGTTGTGACTGTTTAGAATTCAATTACCTGGCTTCTCTGTATTCTCTTCCTACAACACGCCCTGCCCCTGCCCCCGGCACCTCTGGGTAGATTCGAACAGCCAATCTTGCAGTCGATGAGCAGTCAGCCAATTGCATCTCTTAGTGACTCTGAAATCTTCTGTTTTTGTTGTTATCGGGGGCCATCAAGTCGATTCCAACACATGGAGCCCCCAGGGACAGCAGAACGAAACACTGCCTGAGCCGGGGCAAATTTGAGCCCATTGCTGCAGCCACTATGTCACTCCTTCTCACCAAAGGTCTTCCTCTTTTTCCCTGCCCCTCCAACGTAGCGAGCATGAAGTCCTTCTCGACTGGTCTCCCCTGGTAGCATGTCCCGAACACCTGAGATGAAGTCTTGTCATCTTCACTTCTAACAAGCACTCTGGCCACACTTCTTCCAAGACAGATTTGTTTGTTTGTTTGTTTGTTTGTTTTGGCAGTACTTTCAATACTCTTGGCCAGCACCAGAATTCCAATGCATCGGTCTTCATAATAAATTGAGAACGTTCATACACAGATGAGGTAAGGGAGGATCCATGGTTTGGGTCAGGCGCACCTCAGTCCTCAAAGTAACATCCTTGTTCTTCGATACGCTAACGAGGTCTTGTGCAGCAGACTGACCTAGTGCAGTACACCTTTTGATCGCTTGACTGTGGTTCCCATGAGCATTGATTGCAGATCCAAGCAAGACGAAATTCTTGACAACTTCAACCTCTGTTGGATCAATGTGACCTATTGGTCCAGTTGTGAGGATTTGGCTTTTCCTTACACTGAGTTGTAATCCACACTCAAGGCCACAATCCGAGATGTCCATCTGCAAGTATCTCAGGTCCTCCTCACTTTCAGCAAGCGAGGCTGTGTGAACTGCCTGTCGAAGGTTGTTAGGAAGCCTGCCTGCAATCCCAATACCACATTCATCTCCATATAAGCCGCTTCTCTAATGACTTGCTCAGCATACAGATTGAATAACTCTGACACACCACTTTCCTGATCTTAAACCATGCAGTAGTCCCTTGTGCTGTTCGCACAACTGCCTCTTGGTCCATGTCCAAATTCTTCGTGAGCCCAATGGAGTGCTCTAAAATTCCCATTCTTCTCAGGGTTATCCATAGTTTGTTATAATCCACACAGTTGGATGCCGTGGCAGACATCAGAAGGAAGTTTATTTGTGTTTTGTTGATTATTCCAAAGCTTTCACCAGTGTGGCACCTAGCCCACTACACGACAGCCTTGGAAGTCTCAGTGGCATGTCTGTTCTGTCCCAAAGGGGTCACTGTGAGTCAGAATCAACACCAGGACAGCCACAACAGTTGAGTTGAAAGAGCCCTCATCTGATCAGCTGTCCTTGGAAAAATGACTTAGCCCAAGGTCACTCTGCTGCTAAAGAGGCAGAGATGGGATTTGAGTGAAGGAGACAAAGAAGCTGAGAGGGAGGGGCTGGAGAACATAGGAGCCCAGCAGGTGGTTTGCAGCGTGGGCAGGTAACAGACCTCAGCAGGTATTCACAGGCTCAGGCTTACACCTCTAACCCTTGATCAGAGACAGAGAAAAGCAAGAAGAAGAAACTTAACAAGAAAGGACTACCTATGTGGCCTTTCACCTCCATCTACCATGAGTTCAATTGCTATCAATTACTGCGGCCTCCTGCATCTATTAATAACCAGCCATTCCTTCCTTTAACAATAGCTGTGTGGCTGCTGAATTCCTCAATATTACAGGACTTATTTATAAGGAGGTTGCAGCTGGCTCCCATTTCTTCACACCCAGGCCAATAATTTGGAGGTCAGGGAGGATGGCAGGGGGGCACAACCCACAGCAGTTTCGGCCTGGCTGCATGATCTCGGACCCTTGGTTTTGTATCTGTTCAATGAGTGGCAACTCTCCCCTGGGATTATTTTGCTGGTGAGCCAAGACACTGGGTGTGAAGATGTTATGGGAACGTACATCCCAAGTGGAGGAGCAAGGCATCTTTGGGGAGTCATCATGGGAGGGTCTTTCCCATATGAACTGTAGGAGTATAGGTGCAGAAGTAGGACTCCGGGCAGATCTATAAGTGACTTAACTAGACCCCACTGCTAGCCAGGCTAATGCCAAGACCAAGTTCAAACTTGGTGCACCTCAGCCCAGCGCTCCTTGCACACTCAGATGCTGCTCGCCAAGGCAGGCTGTCCAGGTGGTGTAATGGGGGTTCATCTTGGGCTGCTAGAGTTCAAAACCACCAGGCACTCCACAAGAGAAAAATGAGGCTTTCTACTCCTGTAATGATGTACAGTCTCAGAATTGGAATCTGATTTACAGCTGTGAATTGGAATCAATTCAGAGGCAATGGATTTGATTTTTGGAAGGCAGGCTAGGCTGCGGTCACTCAGCCAGGAACACTTTCACGGAAACGGTTTGCTGTGGCTCCAGGGAAGCTCAGTAGTGGTTGGCTTTTCCATAGGCCACTCCACATGCCTAGTCCTCTGCTAGGCACATCACCCTGTCAATGCAGCCACCGGTGACAACTGAACTATGGTTAATTCCACTGAGGGACAACACCTTGTGAAGGAATTGGGGCCCCTGTGGCTTTAGGAACCTTATTTTCTTCTCCAGGCTTCCGATTACTCGCCTATAAACTGGGCATGACCTCCCTGGCCCACCCCACCTTCTGCCACGGAGTCCATTCGACTCACAGCGACCCTATAGGGCAAGGCAGAACTGCCCCCGTGGGTTTCTGAGACGGTCACTCTTTATGGGAATAGAAAGCTTTTTTCTCCTTCTCAGTGGCTGGTGGTTTCAAACTGCTGGCTATGAGTTTAGCAGCCCAACATGCAACCCACTCCAGCACCACGGAGTCTTGGTACATCACTCACCCTGGTGGAGCATAGATGCTTAAGAAACAGTGAGCGAGGGACAGTGCCATGCCACCGCCATCCTCACTACCGTGACTGATGCACCTGACCTGTTTCTGCAGGTCCCCTTGTCCTTTCCACTGAGCCATTCCAGATAAATGATGCTTCTCCAGACCGAGGCTAATGGGGACTCCAGAAGGCCTCTGGTCCACTTCCCCTGCTGAGCCTCAGTTTTCTCATCTTTAAATGGACACAAGGCACCAGGGAAGCCCTGGGTGAATATTCGCTGCTGGTATGGATTATTTATGGGAAATGGAGGGTGAGAGAATGGCAGGTTTCCTCAGTGTTGTGCAGGGAAGTCCCCCAATCTGAAACCTAAATCTCAATCCCCTAACACTGGTCCAGGGCCACACAGGGGCCAAACTGATGCCCTAAACGTACTGCCAGGAAGACGAGGCTGAATCCTCAAGACCCTATAGGACAAAATAGAACTGGCTCCTTAGGGTTTTAGAGGCTGTCAATCTTTGCAGGGGCACACAGCCTCATCTTTCTCCAGAGACATAGCTGGCAGGTTTGAACCATTGACCTGGCAGTTAGCTGCCTAGTGCTTAACTCACTGTACCACCAGGGGCTGGGAGTTGATGTCCCCTGCCTGAAGTCAGTGTTCCAGCCCTACCACCCATTCCAGGACCCACAGCTTCCTTTACACACACACACACACACACACACACACACACACACACACACACACACACAATTGTTTGCATCACAGAACAGCCATTCCAACTTAATGAATGAATTCAATATGCTCAGAGAACACA